TTAAACAGAAACCATTATTATTTTTGGTCGAATGTGACCAAAGGATCGCAGGAACCTAACCCTGTATTTCCCCTGGGAACCCTGGTTCAATATTTGCTGTGACTTTATAGAACATAACTATGGTGAATTTAATGAGAATTGACTATTTTGATTTAAATTACCAGTTCACCTTTAATTTTAAATGTTTGAAGCCTGGTTAAAACTGGTAAAAAGTAACATTGTGCCATGGCAAATGTGGTTCAGTTGGAGTGATGTTCCGCACACCAAAAGGTTGAAGGTTTTTATTCCCGGTGTCAGAGCTCATACCAGGTTGTGGGTCCCATTCCTGGTCATGTGCACAGAAGGCAACAGATCCGTGTGTGTGTGTGTGTGTGTGTCTCTCTCTCTCTCTCTCTCTCTCTCTCTCTCTCTCTCTCTCTCTCTCTCCTCTGCATATAGATGTTTCTCTCCGTCTCCCATCCTCTCTCTAAAATCAGTTAAAAAACACACCATGTCAAAACCGGTTTGGCTCAGTGGATAGAGCGTCGGCCTGCAGACTGAGGGGTCCCAGGTTCAGTTCCCGTCAAGGGCATGTATCTTGGTTGTGGGCACATCCCCAGTGGAGGGTGTGCAAGAGGCAGCTGATAGATGTTTCTCTCTCATCGATGTACCTAACTCTTTCTCCCTTCCCTTCCTCTCTGTAAAAAATCAATAAAATATGTATTTTTTAAAAATCTTTTTAAAAAAAATCACCATATTTAAAAAAATTGTAATGTCGCTACATTGTTTTGCTTTTTTCCATTTTCTACTATAGATCAGTACTCAATACTTCCCCCTAGTTTTTTTTCCTAGAGTTGCCAGCACAATTTGAGTTACTGGTTTTCAGTTTTGGCATTATATTTTAAGTCACCTGGGAAGCTTTAAACAAAACAAAACTATCCCCAGAGAGCAATCTGGCATGCATATTGGGCATTGGATTTTTTTCTCAGCTAATGCACACCCAAGTTTAGAGTTTATCTACACTACAATGCGGTGGGGGGGAGGGGGTGGTGGTAGGGGGAGGGGTGGGGGGAGGAGCAGATTTAGAGTTGTTTTTGTTTTGTTTTGTTTTCTTTTTTCCCTCTCAGATTTAGAGTTTAACAGATGGTAGACATATGAAACTTGATACATTTGGGGAGAGCTTTAAGAATCAAATGTGAGCCTTAGCTAGTTTGGCTCAGTAGATAAGAGTTTTGGTTTGTGGACTGAAGGGTCCTGGATTTGATTTTAGGCAAGGGCACATGCTTGGGTTGCGGGTTCAATCCCCAATAAGGGGCATGCAGGAGGCAGCCAGTGAGTGATTCTCTCTGATCATTTATGTTTCTATCTCTCTCCCTCTCCCTTCCTCTCTGAAATCAATCCTGCCTAATAATAGAGTAATATGCAAATTAATCACTACTCTGCTACAAGCCATGCCCATCAGCCACACCCATCAGCCAATCAGAGCAAGCATCCAAATTAACTCCAATCAAGATGGCTGCAGCCACAGAGAGCAGTTGAGAGGCTTTTCCCCAGCAATAGAGGAAGCCAAGCTTTCCACACACCCTGGCCAGCCTAGGCCTCCACTCTAGGATACAAAGTTTCAATTATAGAAGGTAAACAAATTCAAACAGAAATGACCACCAAGTGAGCAGGGGGCTTGGCTTTGCTCCAGGCTACAAAGTTTCAATAGTAGAAGGTAAATAAATTCCAGAAATCAGGGCCTCTGCTTGTGTCACCAGGGGCCATGGCCGGCCTGTAAACCACCACAGGCCCCTTAACCAGGCCGCCTCACATCCCAAGGGAATCCCCACCCTGATCTGGGAGACACTTCAGGGCAAATGAGCTGGCCCTACCCATGCACCAGGCCTCTATCCTATCTAATAAAAGAGTAATATGCAGATTGACCATCATTCCAACACACAAGATGGCCGTCCCCATGTGGTGAAAGATCCTGCTCTTAGGTGGACACAAGATGGCCAACAGGGGAGGGCAGTTGGGAGGCACCAGGCCTACAATGGAAGGCAGTTGAGAGGGTCCAGGTCTGCAAGGGAGGGCAAGTTGGAGGCGATCAACCCTGCAGGGGAGGGCAGTTAGGAGTGACCAGGCAGGCAAAGGAGAGAAGTTGGGGGGCAAACAGGCTGGCAGAGGAGCAGTTAGACATCAATCAGGCTGGCATGGGAATGGTTAGGGAGTGATCAGGCTGGCAGGCAGAAGCAGTTAGGGGCAATCAGGAAGGCAGGCAGGCGAGCAGTTGGGAGCCAGCAGTCCTGGATTGTGAGAGGGGTGTCTGACTGCCCGTTTAGATCCGAACATCCCTGGAGGAGTTCAGGTTGGAGAGGGTGCAGGCTGAGCTGAGGACATCCCCCACCCGTGCACGAATTTCGTGCCTCAGGCCTCTAGTAAAAATATATTAAAAAAAAGAAAAAAAGAATTAAATGTAAGACTGTGAAAATTTTTTTATATGTTCCTGGATGTCCACATTATCACATTTCTATTAAAGAACATTAATTTCTTGAACTAAATATCAGAGCTATTATTTACTGCCTTATAATTTTAGTGAAGTCTCATTTGGTAACTATTTTATTCAAAGAAACAAAGTAACTGCCCTGAGAGTTTCTTGTGCAGGAGGATTAGTGTACCAACTACATTAAGATATGGCTGCTGGGTGGTCCTCTAGATTCGGTTATGAGCTAAGTGATTCTCCTATTCCAGTTGTGTACCTAGATAAACCTACAAATTTTATGTCATGAATCTTTGGATAATTACAACCTCAAGGTTTTTTTTGTTGTTAAAAACTTTTTTTTTTTTAATCCTCACCCAAGGATATTTTTACATTGATTTTTAGAGAGTGAAAGGGAAAGGGAGTTTTATTTAGATGTAATTTATCTGTCAGAAAAATCACCCATATAAAGTGTACAATCAGCCGAAACCGGTTTGGCTCAGTGGTAGAGCGTCTGTCTGCGGACTGAAAGGTCCCAGGTTCGATTCCGGTCAAGGGCATGTACCCTTGGTTGCGGGCACATCCCCGGTGGGGGATGTGCAAAAGGCAGCTGGTCGATGTTACTCTCTCATCAACGTTTCTAGCTATCTCTCTCCCTTCCTCTCTGTAAAAAATTAATAAAATATATTTAAAAAAAAATAAAGTGTACAATCAGGTATGCAGCCATCTCCATAATTTAATATAAGAATATTTTCATAATTCCAAAAAGAAACCTTGTGCCCATAAGCATGTATTCTCCAACATCCTACTTGCTATTCTCCCCATCCCTTGACAAATTCCAGTCTGCTTTCTGTATGTATAGATTTGCCTGTTTTGGACATTTCATATAAATGGTATCATTATATATGTGTGTGTTTTTGTCACTGATTTTTAAAAAAATATATTTTATTGATTTTTTTTTACAGAGAGGAAGGCAGAGAGATAGCTAGAAACGTCGATGAGGGAGAAACATCGACCAGCTGCCTCCTGTACACCCCCCACCGGGGATGTGCCCGCAACTAACATACATGCCCCTGACCGGAATCGAACCCGGGACCTTTCAGTCCACAGGCTGACGCTCTATCCATTGAGCCAAACCGGTCTCGGCTGTTATAATTATTTTTAAAATACATTTTCATTGATTTCAGAGAGGAAGGGAGAGGGGGAGAGAGTTAGACACATCAGTGATGAGAGAAAATCATTGATTGGCTGCTTCCTCCATGTCCCCTATTAGGGATTGAGCCTGCAACCCAGGCATGTGCCCTTGACCGGAATTGAACCTGAGACCCTTCAGTCTGCAGGTCGATGCTTTATCCACTGAGCCAAACCAGCCAGGGCTGTTATAATTATTTCTTAATATATTGGGGGAAGGGATGAATAGTGGTTATTATTGTCATGATATTAATGCGTACCAATAATTTTTTTTTTTCCTATCTTGCTCTCCTATTATTATCCTTTCATCTTTAGTTTGTTGTTAGATAAAATTGGAAAGAAAACTTCTGGCCATTGTATGTACTGCTGTATTAGCAACCATTGTCATATATATAGCTACATTTTTATTATTTTCCCTACTCATTTCTATTTCTATGCTAAACAGGGATTTCTATCTTTTAAAATAGTTTCATATGCCGAAACTGGTTTGGCTCAGTGGTAGAGCGTTGGTCTGCGAACTGAAAGGTCCCGGGTTCGATTCCGACCAAGGGCATGTACCTTGGTTGCGGGCACATCCCCGGTAGGGGGTGTGCAAGAGGCAGCTGGTCGATGTTCCTCTCTCATCGACATTTCTAGCTCTCTATCTCTCTCCCTTCCTCTCTGTAAAAAATCAATAAAAAAATATATAAAAAATATATATTAAAATAGTTTCATAAACCTGTCACTTTGAGATAAAACTTCACAAGATGTGTGGTCCAACTCCCCGTTCCCTTAAACTTGCTCCATTTCTCATCACATTTTAATGTACCATATACTTATTTGTTTTGTTATTTACTGACCATCTGTTCCCCCACTATCATCTAAGCTTTACAGGTCCAGGAATCTTGTCAGTTTGTCTCTTTATGTATTGCCATTGTTAGTACCTAAGAGGAATATATTTTGTTCTGTTTTATATATATATTTTATTGATTTTTTTTACAGAGAGGAAGGAAGGGAGAAGAATAGAGAGCTAGAAACATCGATGAGAGAATGTCATCGATCAGCTGCCTCTTGCACACCCCTACTGGGGATATGCCCGCAACCAAGGTACATGCCCTTGACCGGAATCGAACACGGGACCCTTCAGTCCCCAAGCCGACGCTCTATCCATTGAGCCAAACCGGTTTCGGCTCAATAAAATATATTTAAAAAAAAAAAAAAAAGCACTACTAACACTCAACACTTATAACCTAGGCTGAGACCTTAAAAACCTCTATGGAGTAGTTATGAAGTTTTGTAGATAGCTGGTCTCTCTTCATAACCCTTCACAACATCAATTTTTAGACATATAACAAAAAGGTACAAATTATTATTGGTATTTTTTTTCTAGAAACGATTGCAGAAAGAACTGTTGGCTTTGCAAAATGACCCACCTCCTGGGATGACTTTAAATGAAAAGAGTGTTCAAAATTCAATTACACAGTAAGTATTTAATTTTTAAAGTACTTAATTTGTTTCTTTATTAGTGTAATATACGAATGTATACTTATTTTATTAAATATATATTTGTTTTCATATTTCATCACATTGTCTTTCAGCAAGTGGTAAATACCGTTTACAGACTTATTCTCTGCATGAAATAGTGAAGGGTGGAAGGGAACACAAGTATTCTCTCTAACTCAGCTCCTTCCTTGGGAGTGAATCAGAAGTATCTTCCCAGATATGATACCAAGAAGAGTAGAGAAGATGCGTCACCTCTCTTAAAAATGAATTTGAATTAGTTTAGAATATTTTCATGAGTATCTTTTTAAGATCTCACAACCTACTATGGTCTATTCTTACTGTTCCTTTGGCTTAATAATTCTGTTAGATAAGGGTGAATGTTCTAAAAGAGAGGAGAAATAAAAAATAATTGCTCCTTTCCTTTAAAAAAAAAATCTCCAGAAAAACATAATAAGGATAGGAGCCTATAAGATAAAAGTTTATTATAGACCATCTTGTTGGACAAATAAGGACAATTCAAATATTGAATTGTGACTAGAGGCCCAGTGCATGAATTCGTGCACCACTGGGGTCCCTCAGCCTAGCCTGCAGGATGAGGCTCTCCAACATCCCCTGACGGCCCTGGATTGTGAGAGAGTGCAGGCAGGGTCGAGGGACCCCACTGGTGCACAATTGGGGCCTGGGAGATATGTGGGGGCGCCAGGGTGTGTCTGGCCCATCTAACTCAGTCAAGATCGGTTGGACCCCACCAGCAAGCTAATCTATTGATTGTCTGTCCCCTGTTGGTCAGTGCACATCATAGTAACTGGTCAACCAGTCATCTGTCTGCCCCCTGGTGGTCAGTGCATGTCCTGGCAGCTGTTCAACCGATCAACTCTCTACCCACTGGTGGTCAGTGCATGTCATAGCAAGCGGTTGAGTGGCCTTAGCATATTATGCTTTGATTGATTGAATGGATGACCAGTCAACAGGACACTTAGTATATTAAGCTTTTATTATATAGGCTATGTTAGGTTCAGAGTAACTTGTCAACCAGTCATCTGTCTGCCCCCTGGTGGTCAGTGCATGTCCTGGCAGCTGTTCAACCGATCAACTCTCTACCCACTGGTGGTCAGTGCATGTCATAGCAAGCGATTGAGTGGCCTTAGCATATTATGCTTTGATTGGTTGAATGGATGACCAGTCAACAGGACACTTAGTATATTAAGCTTTTATTATTTAGGCTATGTTAGGTTCAGAGAGCAAAAGTAATCAAAATTCACACAATGGAGGGTAGGGGGACATACTCATCCTTCTAGAGGAAAAAATTTTGGTTACCTTTCACTTTGACATTTGAGTTAAGACAGGAGTCAAACATTAAGAACAGGAATATAGGAAATTAATATGTTGATATTTAAGTGGATGAATTGATGTTTGGAAATGCAGTGTACATCTCTAGTTCTATAACAATATCTTTTAAAAAAATATTTTTTTTTATTGATTTCAGAGAGGCAGGGAGAGGGAGAAAGAGAGAGAAACATCAATGATGAGGAAGAATCCTTGATTGGCTGCCTCCTGCATGCCCCACACTGGGACCAAGCCCACAACCCAGGCATATGCCCTGACTGGGAATGGAACTGTGATCTCCTGGTTCACAGGTTGATGCTCAACCACTGAGCCACACCAGCTGAGCCAGCATTACTTTATTAAAAAATTTAATTTTATTGAGGTAACATTGGTTAATAACACTATATGTTTCAGGGATACAACTTTATAATATAACATCTCTAAATTTCTTTGTGTACTTACCACCCAAAATCTAGTATTCTTCCCCCTTTACCTTCTTCAGCCTCTCCCCCCCTTCCCTGCTGGTGACTGCCATGCTGTTGTCTGTGAGTTTATTTTGTTTGTTCTTTTGTTGCTTTTTGTTTTACATCTCACATATGAATAAAATCATATCATCTTGGCCTTTTCTATGTGACTTATTTCACTTAGCATGATGCTTTCAAGATCCACCCATGTTGTCTCAAATGTCAATATTCCATCTTCTTTTATGGCTGAGTATAGTATTTACATGTATATTCATAACACATCTTTATCCAATCATCAGTCAAAGGACTTTAAATTGTTTCCAGATCTTGGCCACTGAATAATGTTGCAGTGAACATAGAGATGCCTATATCTTTACAAATATTTTGAGTAGATACTCAAAAGAGGGGTTGCTGGGTCATATGGTAGCTCTATTCTTATTTTTTTGAGGAATCTCCATACTATTTTCCATAGAGGCTGCTCCAATTTACATTTCTGTCAGCAGTGTATAATGGATCCTTTTTCTCTCTATCTTCTCTAATACTTGTTATTTCTTATCTTATTGATAATAGCCATTCTAATGTGAAGTGGTATATAATTGTGGTTTTGATTTGCCTTTTCCTTATAGTTAGTGAAGTTGAGCATCTTTTCGTATATCTGTTGGTCATTTGATTGTGTTCTTGGGAAGTGTTCAGGTCCTCTGCCTATTTATAAAAAAAATATATTTTACTGATTTTTACAGAGAGGAAAGGAGAGGGATAAAGAGCTAGAAACATCGATGAGAGAGAAACACAGACCAGCTGCCTCCTGCACACCCCCTACTGGGGATGTACCCGTAACCAATGTACATGCCCCTGATAGGAATTGAACCTGGGACCCTTCAGTCTACAGACTGACGCTCTATCCTCTGAGCCAAACCTGTTTCGGCTCTGCCTATTTTTTAATTGGATTGTTCTTTTGTTGAGTTATATGAGTTCATTATATATTTTGTATATTAACCACTTGTCAGAAGTATTGTTTGCAAATACCTTCTTCCATTTGACTGGTTGCCATTTTGTTTTTGAAAGCAGCATGCATTATCTTTGAATAATGCATTTAGAGATTTTTGTCTGGCAGTAATTTTTCTTTTAAAATAACATTGTAAAGGAATTGTAAAAGTTTATTGAATGGGATTATATGGGATATGGATATGGATAAGGAAGTTGATGAAAGCACATTAAGCTTTGTAGAAGACATGGTAGCATATATTAAGAACTTTAAAAACACAAGTATCATATCCTTTAACCTAATAAACCCCTATGCTATCTTAAGGAAGGAATAGAGATATAGAAAGATTGAGTAGAAAGAACATACATTTACAATACTGTACATGTTAATTGAAAAAATATTCACGTAGAAGTGGACTGCGTAGTTCAAACCTATATTTAAACATTAGAATCTCAGCTACTCACAAGTTAAGAACTGAGATTACTCCTATCTCATCCTTACTCTGGGGGGTGTGCTTGTGATTGAAGTCAAACACTGATAATTTGAATTTATATAATTAAGTGTGCAAATAATGCAACTTCTAGTCTTCAATACCATCGATAAAGAAATTGCAACACAAAGTGACTAGAATGAGATGTACCCAAAAAACTTTTTTAAAAAATTTATTTATTTTTCAAAAAAACTTTTAATAGTAACTATGCATGATTTTTGTTTTATTTGATACTTTTTCTAAATTTTCTGTGGTGATCATATTTTACTTTTTAATTAATAAAATGTTATTTAAAAATACAGTATACTGTACAATAGAAAATTATGCCTTTTTTGGCCTGTCACCCAGTTATTGAAGGGATTACTGAGGTATTTACTTAGCTGTTTAAAAGCTGTAGCCCTGGCTGGGTATCTCAGTTGGAGCATTTTCCTGTACACCAATAGGATACAGGTTTGATTGATTCCTGGTCAGGGTACATATCTAGGTTAGAGTTCAATCCCCAGGCTTGGAGGTGTACAGGAGACAACCCATTGATGTTTCTCTGTTTGTATCTCTTTCCCCCTCCCCCTCCCTCTTTCCTTTAAAAAAAAACAAAACAAACATTAAAAACATCATTGAGCAAGGATTTAAAAAAAAGCATAAAAGGCTGTGCTTGAGTAAATCACATAAATTTATGGTACGTTGTCCTAAAAATTACCTTATAAAACAGAATGAAAGGCCACCAGGAAATCCTGAGTTATCGCTTTGCAATGGGTGTCTGGATTAGGGAGGTGGGTAAAAGGGGATTTTGATGGCTAGGAAGGACCTATCCAGTTTGTAAAGAGAATAGTTTTAGATTTTGTTTTTAGTGCAGCTTTTGCATTGTATTTAATTTACTGTGTTCTGACTCGGATGCCAGGAACATGCGAGGGAGTTTCTTGCATATGTAATGTTATGTATCCAACAATACTTTGAAGTGAATACCTTTTAAAAAAAAAAAATCTGTTTACAATTGAAATAGTTAAAATGGAAGAGGTAAAATAGCTTAGTACTCATGGCCACGCAGCTAGCTAAGGGGCAGATCTATCTGATTTCACTGTAAAATATTGTCTCTTGAATCTGGGGTCATATCTTTTTTACCACATAATGGTATTCAGTGTGCATTCTGAAAATGAATAGCTGTGCTCTTATGAGTCAGTTCACATTCGCTGGTTGCTTCTAGATAATAGGCACATTTCTATTTCACATACTCTTAAATCTATCATATATGATGTGATGAATAGAACCTCAAAACTATTCTCATTTTTTTCTTTTATTTCCCTGTATTTAAGATAATAAATTTTTATACCTGAAAAGCATAAGATTGAAGAAATTGGCCAGGTGTACTATAATTACTATAAGTAGCAGAGATTATAAGTATATTCTAGTAGAGGCCCGGTGCATAAAAATTCATGCACTGGGTTGGGGGCCCTCACTCCGGCCTGCCCCCTCTCACAGTCCCGGAGCCCTTAGGGGCGGGAGGCGACCAGGTGATCAGGGGAAGGCAACGCCTCCATCACACCTCTGCTGCTGCCTGGGCTGCTGGGTGCCTTCATCTTGTGGCTGTGGACACCACCATCTTTGAAGGTGTGGCATCAATTAGCATATTCCTTCCTTATTGGCTGGGTGCTGCCATCTTTGTGACAGCATGAGGTTCAATTAGCATATTTTCTTTTTATTAGATAGGATATATTACTTCTTATTCTTTTCTTTTAAAATCAAATGGAGGCCGAAACCGTTTTGGCTCAGTGGATAGAGTGTTGGCCTGCTGACTGAATGGTCCCAGGTTCGATTCCGGTCAAGGGCATGTACCTTGGTTGCGGGCACATTCCCAGTAGAGGGTGTGCAGGAGGCAGCTGATCGATGTTTCTCTCTCATCGATGTTTTTAACTCTCTGTCCCTCTCCCTTCTTCTCTGTGATAAATCAATAAAAAATACATTTTAAAAAATGAATAAAATAAAATGGAGGAGGGGAAGTTAGAGAAATAGAGGAAGGGAAGTTAGAGAAATAGGATACATTACCTCTTTTCTTTCTTTTTTAAAAAAATATATTTTTATTGATTTTTTTACAGAGAGGAAGGGAGAGAGATAGAGATCTAGAAACGTCGATGAGAGAGAAACACCAACCAGCTGCCTCCTGCACACCCCCTACCAGGAATGTGCCCGCAACCAATGTACATGCCCCTGACCGGAATCGAACCCGGGACCTTTCAGTCCGCAGACCGACACTCTACCACTGAGCCAAATCGACTTTGGCTTATTCTTTTCTTTTAAATCAAATGGAGGAGGGGAAGTTAGAGAAATAGAGATTTTGATGAGAAAGCTGATGGGCAGTATTTTAGAAGCAAAGTGGACCAAAGTCATAAGAATGAGTTACTAATTATGTCTCTATTTTATATTCATGGTTTTTATATGTGGAAACAAAGTAAACTTGCGGAGATACTATAGAAATCTGTTCTGTGTTTTATTAAACAGTTGAGACATAATGAGAGACTAAGGAAAGGCCATATAGAACTTTGCCCATCAGAGTAAGTGGACTAATGTCCTTCCCCCATTGCTTCTAAAATAATTGATACCAGAATGGAAGTTAATTAGTTTGATATTATTTATAAAATCTTTTTAGTCATTGTAGAAATAATCTTGAGATAATAAGATAGGATAAATTGAGTAAGAATAGCATAGGCTTTGCTGTTATCACCCTGAGTTTAGGCTTTTATTTTGTTTTTGATTTATTCATTCATTATTTATTATGTTTGTTTTTGAGACCTTCGATAAAATTTGTATTTTTCTTTTGCTAGCTATCTGAATTTGATCTAGTTATTTAATCCTTGAATAGGCATTCCAGGAATGTGAATGGCTGATTCTGTAATTATTGGGAGGATGAAGTATGCTATTATACACAAATGACTCCTATCCCAATACCTGACATAGAGGAAGTTGTTGGTGTTATCTTTTCTCCTTCTTGCCCCAATCCCTTTTATCTGAAGTTTTTAATTTCTTTTTTTCTATTCTAGGTGGATTGTAGACATGGAAGGTGCTCCAGGTACCTTATATGAAGGGGAAAAATTTCAGCTTCTATTTAAGTTTAGTAGTCGATATCCTTTTGACTCTCCTCAGGTAACTGTCTTGCTTTTTAAAAATTCATTGTATTTTTTTTATAGCAAAATGCTAAATTGGTGATTTTTGACCAAGGAAAACTTTATAAAATAAATTTATTTTAATTATGTAGATAGATTTCTTCCTTTATCTTATCATAATGTAAACCAGGATCTTTTGAACATTTTATATTATTAAGATTAGGGCTTTGCTGCTTTTGTACTTCCATGAACTTAAAACTTTCTTAACCATAGATGTTAATAAAAAGGGGTGGAAATCTGACCTAGATCTATGGATAATTGGAGAGAGAACTTAATATTCTGGAATAGCTAAGCGTTTGTTCCTAAATAAGATGTTAGCATGCTATTGTAAAGAGGCAAGTGATTTGTTCAAAGGAGCACTTCTTTGATTTTGCATTGACATGCTATCTTTGCACCATGTTAGCACTGCAAGAGCAGAATATATTATGAGATGTTAAACATCTAGACATGAGCCCCAAATCTTATCATTATAATTCGAGGTACTGTCAGTTAATGGCTTAATACTTGGATAGGGGAAAATAGTGGTGGAGGAACATTTTTGAGAGCTGTTTAACGGGGTGAATAATTAATTGGTGGAGGTTAGAGAAGGGGAAAGACTATAAGATGACTTCAGATTTCTGGCTTGGTAAAGGTAAATGAGTTACTCATAGTGGCAAAGTGAAAAAACTTAATACCAACTCTGTCTAGTGTTGCTAGGTAATGAGGTGTTCTGGATGATGAAATTTCCCAAATATCTGAAATTTAATCTATTTGGTACTAAAATATGCTATTTTTAAGGAAAGTCATATTGCATTGCTACTCTATTTTATTTTAAAATATATTTTATTAAAAAATAAAATAAAATAAGCCCTCAAAAAATATATTTATTGATAGAGTTAGAAACATTGATCAGCTGCCTCCTGCACACACCCCATCACAACCAAGGCACATGCCCTTGACTGGAATCGAACCCAGGACCCATTAGTTCACAGGCTGACACTCTAGCCACTAATCCAAACCGGTCAGGGCGCATTGCTACATTAGAGAGGATATACCATACTCTAATAGAAATAGACTATAATAAAAAAAACAAAAATAAATGTCTTTCTTCTCTCCAGAAAATGAGCTTCACTTTCTATTGTTGCCTTTGGTTTATTAGCATCATTGCTGACTATTAATGCTTGAAGGCAGCAGGATCTTGAATATATGGAAGGAGAATTCAACTAACCAACTACTGGAAGCTTACTGTGGGATCTCACACATTTTTCACCAGGGAAAATACTATTTTTGTAAATGCGAAACTAAGTAAAAAGCTTCCTCTAATTCTTAGTATTTATTTCTAAATCAGATATCAAACTTGAGCATTATTTGAATTTCATTTTTAACATATGGTTATTTGTAATAAATTTCCTTTATCTTATCTCATATTTTTTTTTTGAGTTTTTTATTTTTTTTATTTTGAAGGAATATTTAATATTAACATTGTGAGTTATTATCTTTTGCATATCAAAGTTACACATTTCAAACAAATCGTCATTTATATTTACAGTATTATCTCATATTTTTAAAATTCTTTTTCTTCAGTTGTACTCTGCCCTCCCTTCTGATTTTGGAGTGCTTTATTCAGCTCTCCCTTACTTTTCTCACTCTTCTCTGAGTTCAACCATTCTAAGCAGCTGGTCCCAGGTCTACAGCTCTGTGTATAAGCTTTTCTTTCTGAGGTTTAATTTTACTCCCTTCTTGGAAATCTCTACTTAACTCCAAACAACTCAAACATAACACATCTAAACTCAGTCTTTTCCAATTACAAAATAAGGGGATATTTTCCCCCCTTGGGTTGCTATCCACTTATCAGCTTGTGTTAAAGTTCTTCTGTTTCCCTCACTCTAAATGCAGTTTTTCAGATCCTTTTCCAGTCATTCTGTTCTTACTTTACTGTCAGTGCTGCAATCCTAGTCCTTTCATCCCTAGCCATCCTTTTACAGTGCCATTAGATTTCTCTGAAGCCGCAGTTATCTCATTGGATTTTACATATACAAGTACATACAGAACCACCTTCCTCACCTTCCTCAATAAAACCTCTAATGTTCATTATTTCCTATCAGGTCTAAAAACTCTTTAGCTTAGGTCCCTTCATGGTCAAGTCTGAATTGAATCATTTTAGCTACACATTACCTTCATGCAACCTAATATATAGTAATATTTATATTATACTTTGTAATGAACATCCATCCTCATTTTGTATTGTAATAGCTCTTAATGAAGAGTTTTGGGGGAGATGGGTTTATCCTCATTTTATTGAAGAAATTGAAACTTATAGAGTAAATTGTCTTGTTCATGGTTCAAAAGCTAGCTAGTAGAATAGTCACAACTTAAACCCAAGTTACTTCTCCCTTATACTGCCAATTAGGAGTGAGTACCAGCATGGGGGGGAAAGGCCTATTTATCCATTCAGTAATGTTATATCTGGAAGAGAAAGATCATTTGTAGAATGATACCTTTGTAAGCTCCTTGGCACTTGTTCCCAATCTTTTGGAATAATATGAGGATTCTGTTTTTAACATCAGTTTATCCTGTGGTCTCTTCCATGTTATAGAAGTTGCATATTCTAATATCCATGATTGAGAACATGACAGATTTACTCTGAGTCCAGTAATAGTTTAAAATTATTTTTAATCACATTATCTGTATGGTATCTGTATGGTTATAAAGTAATTATAATGGATCTAAACAATAAACACTTGATATACATATAGATTTAAAGATGCTTGCAATAAAAGATTTTGTAGAAGACCATTGCTCTGACGCAGTAAATTTCTCCAAAGCAAAGATTATATTTGATGAGACCTGGCAGCACTGGCACTGGTTGGCTAATCATTCACTCTTTCTCCTGTGCAATGAACAACACTAAATTTACCACTATTTACAAGAATAGAATTTGGGGAAATGTCACTAGAATAGACCAATCTCATTGAGAAATTATTACTTTTGTATCTGTGAGTGAGATCTGTATGACCATACATAAACATGACAGTTTGCTTTTCCCCCTACTAGTTAGAATTTATCTCACATTATTTTACTTTATAGTGAAAAGACTACCTATCTAAAATAATGCTGTTTGGCCCAGCCATTTGCTTTAAAGAAAATAATAACAGTGACAAAAAATCTTTTCAGTTAATGTGAGAGCCAAGATGAGCCATCTTTTCATCACTGGTTTCTACGAATGTGCATTTACAGAAAATATAATATTTTTTAATATACTACTTTTCTATATTAGCATGCAGGTAAATGGCTAATTTACCTTGTATTGAGCATGAATTGTACGCCAAATACTCTCCTGTGTATTTTAGAGATAGGAGTACAGAAATTAAAAAGCATTGGCATTGGTCCTGCCTTATAATCTGTTAAATATTTGGACAGGTAGACATTTATTCATTAATTTTGTAAGTATTTGTATAGCACATAGCATAGGACAGATCCTGGACTAGGTATTGGTGATTCAGTGGTAAACAAAACTACAGAAGAAAAAAATATCCTGCTTACATGTAGTTTGTATTTTTGTGGAAAGAGACAGACAGTAAATAAAACACATATACCAGTAGTATGGAAAATGATGGGGCGGGGGGAGGGAACAGAAAAGAGGAATGAGGGTGTTATGGTTTTGGAAGGAGTTAAGATTTCACTGAAAAGGTGGCATTGGAGCAGAGATCTGAAAGAAATGAGTGAGCGAACCATGTGACAGAGGTGAGGGGAAGAGCAGGTGACTCCAGTGTGCCTGTAGTAGTCTCTAGAGTGCTATATAAACAAGGTGGGAAGTGTAGAGCATAGGGCAGAGGTAATTTGGGCTGATAGGACATTTAAAGCCCATGATAAGAATTTTAACTTTAACTCTGAATGAAATGGAAAACCTTTGAAGATTTTGAGTAGAGAAATGACGTGATCCTACTTAAAATTAAAAGGTAAAAGCTGACTATTACATAGCAAATTGACTGGGGACATGGGTGCAGGGATAACAGATAAGCTTTAAAAAATGTGTGTGTGTGTGTGTGTGTGTGTGTGTGTGTGTGTGTGTGTGTGTGTATTATTGATTTCAGAGAGGAAGGGAGAGGGATAGAGAGAAACATCAATGATGAGAGAGAATCATTGATCGGCTGCCTCCTGCACACCCCCTACTGGGGATGGAGCCTGCAACCCAGGTACATGCCCTTGACCAGAATCGAACCTGGGACCTTTCAGTCCACAGACCGACACTCTATCTACTGAGCCAAATTAGCTAGGGTCAGATAAGCTGTTGAAATAATTCAGGAAGGGTAGCAATGGAGGTCATGGAAGGTGCCATATTTTGTACTTATTTATTTTATTTTTAAATATAGTTTTTATTGATTTCAGAAAGGGAGAGAGGAGGATGGAGGGAGGGAGGGAGGGAGGGAGGGAGGGAGGGAGGGAGGGAAGGAGGGAAGGAAGGAAGGAAGGAAGGAAGGAAGGAAGGAAGGAAGGAAGGAAGGAAGGAAGGAAGGAAGGAAGGAAGGAAGGAAGGAAGGAAAAAGAAAAGGAGAGAGAAACATACATCAGTGATGAGGGCAAATCACTGGTCGGCTGCCTCCTGCACAGCCCCCACTGGGGATCAAGCCTGTAACCTGGGTATGTGCCCTGACTGGGAATCAAACCCTGATCTCTTGGTTCATGAGTTGATACTCAACCATTATGCCACGCCGGCTGGGCTGTACCTATTTTAAAAGTTGAGCTAACAGAATTTGCTGATGGATCAGTGTGGAATGTGAATGAAGGGAGTAGAGGAGAACTCCACAAGTTTTGGGCTCGCAACTGGAAGTGTGATTATATGCTTGGGAGCAAAGAGAAAGCAGTGCCTGGTTTAGAATAGAATGTCTTTAAGCTTTCAACTAATTTTTGTTTGCACTGGGACTTAAGAACAAGAAGAGTTTATGTCAAATGGGCAAGGCATGAGAAAATGTGGCCTCTTCTGAGTTCTGTGACTTTTGT